GCCGCGCGCGGCGGGGCGGGGCGGGGCGTGCGTCCGTGCGCGCGCGCGCGCGCGCGTCCCTAGCAGGCGCATGTGCCGTCTTCGTGCGTTCTCGGTCGGGGATGGCGTACACGCTTGCGGAAGTGGTTGGCTTGAGACTCTGCTCCTGAGCAGATGGATCATCTAGCCGCAGGAGCCGAACCTCATTGAGGCGGTGGGTGGCGCTAAAGCCGCCCTGTGCCCCCGGGTTTGCCCCAGAAATTAGGTTTTTCCCCGACTGTTAGTTTTAACACAGCGTTTCTGCGGCTTCATTCATTCTCTTAAGACCTTCCTTGTTTTTGCCGTATTTTTCCTACCATCTGCTCTGCTGTTTATTTAAATAGTTTTCTCATTAATCAAGTTTGTTTTTACTTATTTGGGGTCATAAAATTCAAATTTTCTACAGAAGAGTATAATAAACTAAAAATTTCGCGCTCATCTCAGTTCCCCTAGCCACCCAGAAAGAGTCTCTGAAGGCAAATATCACCGTTTTTTTGTACTTCTTTTCAAAGATTTTGTATGTATATGCAAGCAAACGAATTCGAGAAGAAATTTGATATCACTATCTTAATGAAAATTCATTATCCTTTGCCATAGAAGAGTACAGTGGAACTAAATTCAAAGAAAACAAAACAAGTTATTAAATTTTATCTATTATCTTAAAGATTCTGAGCCTGCTCTTGGTTCAAAAGGGTTAGTCAAGTGTTAGATGTTAGATGCCTATTAGTTGTGAACTTTCTCCTGGACATAATCAGAAAGATTAAAGGAAACTGAAAAGGGAGTAACTTTTCACACTGCAGTCTGTGTACCCTCTGAAATTCACTCCTACATGGGTGTGACTTTTTCCTTCCAGATTTAGCTTCAGATATGTGATGTTGGGCAAAACTAAATTCTCTGAGTTTTAATTTCTCATCTTTGAAACTGGTATTTTTAAGACGTACCTATGAGTGTAGATTAAGTGAAATAGTGTTCAGTCCCTAGCACATAGTAAGCACTCAACAGATAGCAGTTATTATAAAGATGAATTAAATAGTCTCTGCCCTCAAAATGCTTGTGGGCTACTGGGCAAGCATACAAGACATATTATAGTAGTGTGATATTGATTGTAAATAAGCTAGTGGGAGGTAACTGGCTAGACCTGAAAAAGAATCAGTTAAGTCTGGAGGGGTTATATCTGAGATGGGCTTTGGATAAAGACTAAGAGTTTCCCCTTCCTATCTCCCATCATACAAATATCCAGCTTGGATGTCAAATCAAAGCTCACGCCCCTCAGGAGACAGGGCAGACCCCGCAGTATACACTGATTCCCCAATCTAGTGTACTTCTCATTGGTTTTATACCCACTGCCTCCAAACCCAGAACTCCTGCAGGCCTGCCACTTACCTGGTGGCCGAGGCCAAAGGACAAATGTTTATGCACACAGACTAGCACTACAGCCTTAACATTTAAAAGACATGGCAGGGAGAAAGGAATAGGCTTTTTGTTCATTTTTGACTACACTCCTGGTTCTCAATCAAATCTGCAAGTGAAGAGGTTTAGATTGATTCTCACCCATCTGAGTAAACTCTTCGGTTTCTTCAATTGCCTCACAAGAAAGATTGGTGCAAACTTTTCACAAACCATATTGGAAAATAGCAACCTCATTAAAAAGAGGGAAAACTTATTTGTGATATAGAAATGAAATAAAAGGGGTAAAGAGCAATCAAATTGTATGTGTAGTGTGATGACATTTATCTAAAATATTTGTAGTTATTCCCCTCTCTGCCACCATCATTTTTGGAATGTAGTTTTATTACCTTTATAATTAAAACAACTAAATCAATGCTCCCCTCCCCCCACTTCTGAGATATAATTGACCTATATCAATTCTTGAAAGCCATATTTAGGGGTCCCCAACCCCCGGGCCACGGACCGGTACTGGTCTTTAGCCTATTAGGAACTGGGCCATACAGCAGGAGGTGAGCGGCAGGTGAGCAAGCGAAGCTTCATCTGCTGCCGCTGCCCAGTGCTAGCATCACTGCCTCAACTCTACCTCAGATCGTTAGGCATTAGGTTCTCATAGGAGTGCCAGTCCCTGGTGTCAAAAATGTTGGAGACCGCTGCAGATGACTAGTAAGGAGGGAAAAATAATCAAACCACACTATGTGGAGGGCACTATGGTGAAAATTTGGAAAATGAAACATTTATTTCTGGGAGAGTAAAACTACAAAGTATAACTACTCATTTCTTCATTGATTCTACAAATATTTATTGAGGAGCTACTATGTGCCAGGTACTGTGCTAAGTGTTAAGAATATTACAGAGAACAGTTATGATCCCTGTCTTCATAGCATTTCAACAGGAGGGTCACACAATAAGCA